TAATAAAGAGAAACAAAAAGAAAATGTAAACTACAATTGTATTACATATATATATACACACATATGTATATGTATATATATATATATATATACATATATACCAAAACTATTTACAATTTACTATAGCAAATTTGGAAAGCTTGTCGTATAACAAAAAGATAGAAAAAGGTTTATCAGTGTGAACAGTATATTATTGTAAGTATAATTATTAAAAAACTTGTATCTTCAAACACATCACAGAATTTAAACAAACTTCTTAGCTAAATTAGAAAACGCTCCCGTTGTCTTATGGTGTAGCTTTAGGTTTTAGTTCTTCGAAACACGGTCTAAGGAATATGGAGTTTTTCTTCGCTGGATTATAATACTCGTGACCCTGTAAACATTAACGATATTGTAATTAGTCTCGTTTCTGTTAAATGTTGTATACAACTTTCAAAGCAATATTAATTGAAGATGATACCAGCAATGATGTTTCTTTAGTACCAATGATACCATGTACAGAAGTTAAACTAATTCGAACTGGCAAGAGTTACGCATATTTCTACGACGATTAATTTCCTTCGATCCTCGATCATTATTTACTTAATGAACGAACTATTATTGTCTTCATAAAGAAAAAAAAAACACTACCTTGGACCAATCGTAGGATACAGCGTACGCAAATATTTGACCATTGTGATTGAAGCAACATCTGGTAATAGGCTGTTCCATAGGATCTGAGGATTTCAATTTCGTCCGCGAATCTTTGTCCCAAAAGCCAAAAGTACCGTCAGCTCCAACAGTGGCAACAGTGCCGTGAACTGGATGAAATGCAATGTCGTTAACCTGTGGTAGAAACAATTAATTTTTATTATTATCACCATTATTATTATAAACTACGATTTCGTGTAATAAAACATGATTTTGGAATATTGCTGACCGCATAAATATCTTGATAACCATTGGGTGTTCCGTTCACTCTGTGACACTTGAAAGTGAAGTTCTCTTTTGCGCTTAAATTCAAATGGTGTATTGCAACACGTCCTTCTGTACTGCCTATTGCAAAACCAGTGGGAACTTTCTTCTTATCTCTAAAAATTGCGACGCATCTATATTGATATTTGAGATTTAACTCTACTGGTTTGAATTCTCTCGGAGTGCCTTCCAAATGATACACAATTAGTCCACGTCCTGCGGTTCCTACTACCGCCATCGGATAATCCTGAAGGAAACAGAAGAGAAAAACATTGGTGTTGGAAAGGCGAACAGCAACAGAAAGTGAAAAATAGATACTTACAACGTCAGCACAATAACATCTTTCAATCAGGTTGAGAGTCATAGCTGGTTTTGGACTTCTCAAGTCCCAAAACTGAAAGCGAACTAAAATAAGCAAAAAATTCCTAGCATATAACATATTCTAAATGACAGAAACTAGAACATACTCTTAATGTTTTATCCCAGGAACCTGTCATAAGGCACGAGTATGTACTAGCTTTGATCCAATGACAATCTTTGATGGGTGCATCGTGTGCAGCAACTTGTATACTCTGGTTCGATACCAGGTCCCAACATTTAGCAGTCTTATCGCAAGATGCCATGAATACTTTAGTTCCATCCTATTTCGGACAAAAGAATTACATGTTAAATACAGAATCTTCAATAAGAAAGAGGAAATTCTAGGACACTTGTGAAAAGAACGTTGAACTTACGTCGCTCCAACAAACGTCGAGTATCGGTTCGGACATGGATTGCATTGATTTAGGAACCGTCTTACCGGATTGCTCGACTTCCCAGCAACGGACATTGCAATCCCATGAACCGGCTACCAAAAAATTTTGTGGAATAGAGGCAGGACTGAACGCGAGACTCGACACAGAATCATCAGGAGGGGAGACAACCTCAAAATCTTGCATTGGATTCGAGGTGTTTGTTGTGCTGGTTCGTAATCCACCGCTTTGATTGAACATGTTTCTTTATTTTGGCCTAAGCAAAATCTTCACTGCATATAAAACGACGCTGTCGTTAGTCAGAACCTAAATCACATGTGATAACTATTTACAATAAACATTCAAACAGTCATGCGTTATGTCCTGCATACACGTATGCATGGACAATATATAATTTGTGTGTTAAGTAATTGTACTAAAGCTATGCTAATGTACGTATACATACAGAAAATATATGACACCTTTAATATGGTTAAAATAATGCGGGAAGAGTGAATGTAAAGTAGTAGAAACGAATCGTAACACCACGCAACGACACATCAGTACATGCTATATTCTGTGCTAAAGCAACTGGCTTGCATGCATATTGCACATGTGTACACATACTGTACAGCTTTTTAAGCCAGTTTCCTGTGCGCATGCTTCACAAGTCTATACATTGCAACACACATTGCAATTCAAACGATCCAGGATAAAGGGTAGAAATATGAACTGAAAAAAAGAACACTTTTCTGATGCATCGTATGTATTCGTATTATTTTCGAACTTTAAAGATTCTTTTATTACATCAGTTTCAGAACAATTGTGTACAACAGCAAAAATATTTTAATTTCACATGAAAAACAATGGAAAATATTGAAATAGTCAGAATTGATTTTCAGATTTGCTACAGGCAATTTTTATCTGCCAACATGTTCTTCGATATCGCAAATAACTAAAGCTTCGTAATTTGTATAAGATTCTTCCCTGCCATCTATAGGTACATAACAAACTTGGTGATTCGGCTGAATTTTTCCGATGTAATATATGCCTTCGTGCAAAACTCTCCCTATGAACAGAGCATAACCGTCCTCCGACTCGCCAGCAGGAAGAGCGTTCAATGGAATATTACCGTCCCACGACTGTACCCAGCTCACATTTTCAGCACACAATACTTGAAATTCTTTCTTATCGTGCGCGAATCCACCCCACGCGACTGTACACACGTTATTCCTTACACTTCCAGGTACAAGCGAATCTCTGTGATGAGCACGTCCTACGTACAAGTCATTTTTTGAAATAACAGTAACATTTCGTGGAAGACCAAGGGATTCGTTATAATCTATCCATAAGCTAGATGTGTCGACCAATTGTTGTCTGATAGCTGTACCAGTGCATTGTGATTCTGAAATAGAAAGACAAATGTATTTTCTGATATGACTTTGTAGATTAGTTTGGAAAAGGCACCTTCTATGAAAAATTCTCCTGTAGCACCCCATGCTGTACTGACTCCTATATAATTTATAACAAATGGATTTGGGTCTTTATACGACATAAAAACTTCACCATTCTGACGTCCCACGTTCAGCAGTCCATCGCATAGCCACCTGTAAACATTAACGCGTGTATATTAACACAAACTTCAACTTTGTCATTTGGTCAAATTTCAAATCCTTACTGTATCCAAAGATCGCATAATTGGTCAGCGTCTAATATATCTTTGGTTTCGGCTTCCACGATTGCAGGTTCTTCGCTATTTTTCTTTACCGCCGACATGGTATTTGACCATCCTCCAATAACAATCTAAACAATAAGATTCTAAATCTCTTTAGAAAGGTTCAATCGAAATGTTGATACGTCTGCAAGCATAGAAACTGTAACATACCTCGTACATGTTAGAGTCAGAACCCAAATGAGTACGTAGACATATTCTTGCATCGTGTCCAGCTTTTATACGTAACTTAACACGAGACCTTGTGGTAGGAAAATATCGATATTCCAAACTATTCGGAGTAGTAGTACTGACTGGAAAGAAAACTGATTACTCTCGCTGTCCTTTAATTAGTATATATAATTCACAGCCGACATTGAGAACATTCAGACTCTATTGATGAATTTTTATACGAATTTCTCGTCGATATACTTACGCAAACACATGTTTGTTTTCACAGTACAAATTGGCGACTTATTCAGATAGATAACAGCAAATCCTTTGGATTCGTAGTATTGTGAATACGGCACTGCATCAGTTGGTTAGTAACAAGTTGTTTAACCTAGTCCTCATCGTCACTGAAGAATACAACAAGAAAACAGGTTTATATGCAACAGCGTTACATTTCGACATTATTTGTAATAGAGATGTTAGTTTACAGTAACCATCCGATTCGAATGAAAAATCTACTGAAATGGTATAGCTGAGAGCGAGGGTACGAATACACGTAGAATCTAACAGTTAGACAAATACGATTGGAATACGAATGTGGATTTTCGATTTCGTAATTTTTCTCAGTGAGTCGATGACAAGAAGACAAGATCTCACCGAAAAAAACTGATGCGGTCGATTTTGACATATGCGTAACATTCAGTGAATACATATACGTACAATATCAAATATATGCACGGTTTATATTTATAAAGTTGAACGCATTGAAGAGAAATGTTTTCATTCATTGCGCAGGCGGGCAATGCTACGTAATTTTATGCGCGAAAATTCAATTTCAATCGTGAGAGAAGAACGAAATTAATAGATTTTCTCGGTCCTCGTTGCACCGTTTTTTTTTCTAATTAACGCGGAACGACTTTCGAAGCAAAACGCAGCATCCAAAGAATATTGGACACGGATCGCGAAGTACATTGGCAACTGGTATTACTACATACCGGTCCAACTTTCGCAGCAGACATCTTTCTGGCCTCGAAAGTATAACGCACCTGCGCCACTGCATTGTACCTGTTGGGCGCTGTGCTCACACACGTTGAATTGTACCGGATTCTTTCGCAAGTGTTCGATACAAGAGAAAATTTTATGCGACGACAAAAGAAGATGTTTATCGCTAGATCGAAGGAAAACCCCATTCTGACGATAGCAAGTTGAAACTGAAGTCATATGAAATCGTCGGACGATTTATATGTATGCAACGACGCGAAAGAGGTGCCCGTTTGGAATTAGTTTAACGTCCACTTTCCATTTTCATTTTACTTTCTTTGCATTGTACTTTGCGTTGTTACGCGTACACAACTTTTACTATTCCACGACAATACATAGGGCCCCCATATGCCTCACAATGCAATAATGCAACATGCAAGGCAAATTACACGGAGAGATAGTGAACACGTACGTAAACAGAAATTTTCAAATGTACTTGTTTCAATCTTATTTCTCTCTCTCTCTCTCTCTCTCTCTATATATATATATATATATATATATATATATATATATATATATATATATATTGAAACAAGTACATTTGAAAATTGTAATTGTAGTATTATATATATCTATATAATAGATATATATCTCTTTCTCTCTCTCTCTCTCTCTCTCTCTATATATATATATATATATATATATATATATATATATATATATATATATATTGAAACAAGTACATTTGAAAATTGTAATTGTAGTATTATATATATCTATATAATAGATATATATCTCTTTCTCTCTCTCTCTCTCTCTCTCTCTATATATATATATATATATATATATATATATATATATATATATATATATATTGAAACAAGTACATTTGAAAATTGTAATTGTAGTATTATATATATCTATATAATAGATATATATCTCTTTCTCTCTCTCTCTCTCTCTCTCTCTATATATATATATATATATATATATATATATATATATATATATATATATATTGAAACAAGTACATTTGAAAATTGTAATTGTAGTATTATATATATCTATATAATAGATATATATCTCTTTCTCTCTCTCTCTCTCTCTCTCTCTATATATATATATATATATATATATATATATATATATATATATATATATATTGAAACAAGTACATTTGAAAATTGTAATTGTAGTATTATATATATCTATATAATAGATATATATCTCAATCTCTCTCTCTCTCTCTCTCTCTCTATATATATATATATATATATATATATATATATATATATATATATATATATATATATATTATATAGATATATATAATAATATATTCTAGTAATATATATATTTCTATGTGTAGCGAAACTAGGAAATAGCGATATCGTGATAGATTTGGAGAGCCGGTGTAAAACGCTTTCTACCGTCTAAAGCCTGAGATCCGAGGTCCAATAAATCAAGTTGCCGGTCCAAGATGTACAAACGCGACGAAATACTTCTGGTTGCCGGTGGCAAGGGGCTAAATCGGTGTCCTAGGCCATGGTCATTAACGCATTTGAATTCGCCTGATTGCCTCACGGTCGACGTACGTTTTAATGAGGCGCGTGTGTGGAAAGTAGAAAGCATTGCGAAAGATAACGACCAATGACAAGGGTGCATGCACGCACAGAGTCATTCTGGCTTTCATGTTCCGGCGTAACGTACAATCATTCTTTCTTGATCTACATACGACAAAAAGTAGCAGATACCGTGCCCTGTTTTAGGAAGTTGCGAACTTGTGTACACTGTAATTTCATGTATACGTATTATATATTATTATATATTTTATATGTATTTATATACGTATTTTATACGTATTTATATATATACGTATTATATATTATTATATATATTATTATATATATTTTAGCAATCGATCGAGGTCAATACCCGGACATTTGGATTTGCGAAATCGAGGAGAGCCGTTGTACTTCGGACGACTGAAATTTCCAAGCGTCTTTTTGATAGACCTCGCGACAGATTCGGCTGGATAGAGGGAGAGAAACTTTCCTTTGGACGAAATGTGATTTGTATTCATGGTGCTCCTGCGTTTTATGCAGGATGCGAGGCTCGTCGAGCCTCGTAGAGCCGCGCGTCGATCCTCGCCACGGTATACACTCTTTCCGATGTTTACGAATTTCGATCCCTCGCCTCGGTGAGATCTCTTCGAGCATTTTCTATCGGCGCGTTTTAAAATAGGAGCACGTCGAGTTTTAAGTAGGCTGGCCTTAAGGAGTTATTCTCACTGACCAGCGCGAAAACAGTTGTTTTTCTCTTTATCCTCGCAAAGAATAAAAGAACAAGATTCCCGGTAATCGGAGTAATCGGGAAACATAAACCTCCTTCATATTTCGAGCCGGTCCACGCGACGATCCAAGACGATGCCATTGTACCGTTAAGATAACGACGAGATCGCGCGAGAAGCACCGAGCTACTCGATATCTCGGCGCGCGAACAATAACGTAAACGAAGATACATATTGTGTAACGAGAATGATTCAATTCTCTATTGTGATCTACATTTTCGATCGGGCTCAACGCGTTTCCTTCGATGCTGCTCCTTCGTTTAGAGAGCTTCCATTTCTCTCACATGCATTAATTCCAATCGGTTAGAATAGGCTCAGAATACCCGCGTAATATAATTCACCTTCGTTTCGCAAACGAAAGCTATCTATCCACGTACCGTAACAAACGCATATCTATAAACCTTGACAATAGTAATTGGTAATTTATAGAAATTAGGTCAACGTGGACGTATGCACGTAATGTATGTGCGAAAGAATCTTCAGGTGAAAATGTAAAAACCTGAAGAGCAAGATGTCCCGAAGTAAAATGGACAATTTCCAGATATCGATAATAATCTTTATCTCGATTTAAAATAAGAAGTTTGAAGATTTTTCATTGTATTATCCGGTAGCCACGGGATGACAATGGCAATGGCAATGGCAATGGTAATGGAGACAGCAACGTCAGGTTCGATGTAATCTCGTAACCGGTACCTCGTGAAAGGGATACTTTTCTATATGTATTAAAAAGTCTAATTACTGCTAGGTAGGTCATGCCGCTCATAGTTCACTATGAATAGCCAGGCACACGACTGACCCATTGCTTTCCCTGTAAAAGTGAAGAGTTAAATCAGGTTGACTCTTTCTCCCTGCTCTGTATGGTCGAGTACCAACCAATGTCCTATCAGTATGTGCACATCAAGATCGCTTTTACCTTTTTGCGAGCGAGGAGGGATTCCTAGGAGTATAAAACCGTAAGGAACAGACACGCATGCCAGTATGTGTGTAGTTTGAATTTAGTGAAGGAACACCGGCTTCGCAGCGGGTCCGTAGGCACGTAAGCTCCGTCGTCTAATCCAGGACCTCCCCTGCCATGGCGAAAATCATTTCGCTTGTGAGTACGATAAGTCTAAGCGTGTTGAACAAGATTAGTCGAAAGAAAATTATGCATGTACGTATGTGGTCGGATCGTCTATAATATACTTTATGTATGTTGACTTTAGAAGGCGGTGATCTTCGGCAGCATCCTGTTAGTGCGCGCCGAACCACCGGTCACCAGTACGTATTACGCGTCGAGAAAATTTCAGATAGTTCTGCTAAACGATAAATTCTCAAGCGACCTTTGTCTAACGCAGGCTACTCGATCACGGGGGACAATGCGTTCGAGTACAACAGCAACATCATCAAGGACGGCCACAGAGAGAACACGGACTTTTACTCGGCCGGGACCAGTGGACAATCGTTGAGCAACGGTAGAAGCCAACCCAGCCTCGAGGATAGTCTGAGAGGCAGTTCTTACAGCGGATTTTCGCAGAACGCGCACAATCCTGGCTACCAAGGATTCTCCAGTAATGCGCGTGACAGTCTCGGTGCAAGCTCCTACTTCATGAACGATCCTATTCAATCGTCGTTCGAGAGCTACACGAACGCCAACAACAATAACAACAACAACGGGGACTCGACTTTCAGCGGGTATGCTCAGAGCATGGATCAAGCGGGATCCGAGTTCAACCAGGCGATGTCGTTCTCCAGCGGCAAACACAAGAGTCCAGAATATATGAGATTCTCCGACAACTTGCCTGGAGCCACCAGCACCGGAAGCTTTCCCGGGCTGACGTCCGAAAGTTCTTCTTTCAGAGACTATTCCGCGGATGCGTTCAGGGGCCACACGACGGCCACAGGAGGATACATGGACGGCGATCAAACGTTCACCAGAGAGCCTTCCAGCTTGTTGAACAGTCCTAGCACCGACTACTCTTACGGGAAACACAAGGAGAGCGTGTTCGGAGCTGGTAGCGGCAAGTACGCGAACGACGTCTACTCTCTTCATCCCGAGAATCGCTACGTGCGAGGCAGCCATGGAAACGGGGCGAGAGATTACGTTTCTCCGATGTACCTGCCAATGTCCGCCGGTAGTAGTACTCTGCTCAATAACTTGAGGGGAACCTCCGATCTTTCCCAATACGGTACGGCGAGTACAGCGAACACGGGGAAGTATAGCAAATATAACAAGTACCTGGGAGACTATGCCCTTAACGCTGGTTACAACTATCTCTCGAAGGAACCAGAGCCTGATTACTCGTTCGGTAATTACGGTAATTACGGTAATTACGGTAAAGGTAAGACAACAGCGTTCAAAGACAGTAGGCCAAGTAGCTATAACGCCCAAGCTTATCTCGGGGACAGGGCACCGTCCTATCCAACTAAAACTGCTGTGAGCTACAAGGGTAAACCAGGTTACATCAGCTACTCCGGCAGCTCTTCCGCTGCTTATGCTACGATGCCGAGTCTACATGGTACTTACAATAGCAACAGCTACACAGACAGTCCCATACTTAGAAGATACCGCAGCAGTAGTGGACACGTCCCCGGGCATGGAACTATATATTCTGGTTATTATTAACAGCCTTTGGCCCTTCTGTCTTTTTCGTGTCTTTCTGTGAGAAATGTGATGAACATATTGTATTTTGTACATATTTATTGTATGCCTATTTAAACCTAATGAAAACCACATTGTTGTTTATACGTTGTTTAAAATAAAGTTATCTCAAATAATCGTGCGGACGTGAACATAATTTTCATCGGCTCGACCTTCTTACGGTAAAAAAGTGACAAATGGAGACTAGAATAAAAAAAATAATTATGGAGGTGTTCTAGGGAGCTTCGGTTTGGCCAGAAACGCGTCTTCCGTGTCAAGTTCGATTTCTCGAGCATACCAAGTATTGCCGCTTATAGCCTTATTGTCGTCACTGGCGTTCCTACGAACAAATGCAAGTTTTAATAATGTTGAACGCAACGACGAATAGCAACGAACGAAATATCAAATTTAATTCGGCAAAGATACTATATCAAAATATTGAAACCTCTCCGTTGGAAGATATGTATAATTGTGCGTGATTCGGAGATACTGCAACGTGCATAAATTTCAATAAACAGTGCATTATTGTAATGTTTCTGTCTTGACTCACAGCGATGCTATACTGCTCAGTTTCTCCATGACTGAAAAGATATAATGAGACCGATTAATTCATATTAATAATATTAAGCTCTTGCTCGCTCGATATTGTAAACTGAAAGTCGCGGACCCCTAAAGCACTGCAACCTTGCCTACAAATCGTACATATCGTAATCTCCATATAATACATACTATGCATCAATTTCTTTTCACACAATAATTAAGCGAGACTGCCATTAAAGTATGTACGATTAAATGCATGTCACTCGAACGGTTGTTGCTTTCATTCGCTTGCTCCAATTTCCCATGATTACGACCGAATGTACTTATAAAGGAAAGTCGTAGTGCTTTCACTATTTCGAACTTATTTAGCAAATAGCTATTCCACATCGTAGTTTCCGATTTTTAAAAATTATAGAATATACTATAGAATCTACATATAGAATAATCTCACCTGTTGAATTAGCTACACTTCCAACGTCGTTCTCATCCAAGTTCATCGAAGATGCAAGCGTTGTTTTAGTATCTTTCCTACTAAAAATTATAAAGTGAGATTTTACTATGTATGTATATATATGGCATTAGTCGAGGAAAATAGCGGGACATTAACAATGAAAAAGAATTATAAAAATACATCTCGTCATAGTACGATTATTTTGCAAATAATTACGAACTTTAACAAATGACTTGCGTACAAGTATTCGGCACTTTCACAATTATCTCGTGCAGAAATCGTATCATTTTCCATTCTTAAATATGCATTTACTGTACTAGTATCCCGAAACTTTTTATCATTAGACGGATTCGCAGTAATTTGTTTATTGATCTTTCTCAAATTTCTTTGTGCGCAATTGTAACTTAGGAATGCAGAACTTTCTAACGTAGATCTTGCATCAGAAGGAAAACTCCATTTCTCGTTTATTCTTGGCTTGTTAATTTGTTGAGCCTTAAACACATGAATGTGATAACACAATAATGAAATAGTGAAGTTGTGAAATAGTAAACTTTTCGTTGAATATATGTGAAAATTCAATTGGATGTATTTTGATGAAAATGCGGCATTCTGGAATCAGTAGAATTAAATACCTTGTGCAATGAAACTAGTTTTGGTGCCTGTAATTCTTTCATACGTTCCTGTACCATCACGATATTGTTTCGGTTCTTTACGTGATACGTTTTATCTACGAATCTTCTCGAAAGACAACGACTTTATTAAATGCTACAAAGAAGATAATTGCTGCGCCGACGCTATAATAATACCTTTCAAAATTTTGTTCGTTTGATACGGATGCGTGTTCATAATGCAAGCTTTTCACTTGTTCTTCAGCATCGTGCATAAAAGTATGCGACGATATTTCCGAATTGATTTCTTTGTCATGGAAAGGCTTTAGGGACGTAGTATAGCATGATGCAAGCAACGTTTCTCCAGACAATTCGCCGTAATTATTCTTCACCGGGTCATTCTCTTCCAACTCATTTTCCACCACATCGAATTCTTCCTAAAGGTAAACATTCTATTTAAGATCACGATCATCCTATTAAAAGCGTCAATGGAAAAATCAATACATACGTCATCGTTGTCTGCAATTTCCTCAATTTCTGTCTTAATCATAACGTCGCCTTTGTGTATTTTTAAAATGTGTTCCAAGTGCTCCCTGTTATTTATAATACTATTAATTCTAGTAATTAGAAAGCTTTACGGGAAGTATCCACTAAATTTACCTTATTTCGCCGTCTTTGTATTTACTATACTGTTCTAATACGGACGAGAACTTCATCTTCTTAGCTTCTTCGTTAATGTCGTGATTTGTCAAAAAATGATTTAATGCTCCAGTAATATATGGCAAAATCTAACACGTTCAATATTAGAATTATTGCAGTTGTCTATTTTAATAAAATAAGATATATAATTGATTTGTATCGCTTACAGAGGACCGATCCGTTAAAAGCAAATTAGTTAGCGTCGATACAAGTAAAGATGCCAAAGTAGACGCTCTTCTTCGAGCAATTTGATGCAATGATAGATTCATTAACAAGGCTGTAGCATACTCCAATCGGTAAGAATCCATAATGCGATAATGAACGTGTAAGTGGCGAATCAACCATTCTACTAATCCATTTTCTATCATATATATCCTTTGCTGTTTGCGTAATGATAATTTTTGCAGCATCGCAATCATCATATTACACGTAAATGTATCTATGTCGTTGTCATAAGTATTATTTAGGCACTTGAATACCTACGGTATTGATTTTATTAGTAAATATTAAGATTACCATATACTTGAATAACAGTGCAAATATTTCGATTTAACATACCGCATCGACTACGGTAGAATCAAACGACAAATAGTCTCGTCCACATCTAAACGATGCTAAGGCGTTTAATAATCTCGTGGTTGATTGTTGCAATGGATGAGGCATACTAATGTTGTCCGGAGTTAATAAATACGGTAGAATAGATGTACCTTTATAGCTTGCAATTCGCCCGTAAAGCCCTAAGAGGTCTTTACTTATGTACTCGTGCAATGCTTCCTCTCTTTCTCCAGGTTGACCGCATGTTACTTTCTAATGTAACATTGCACATTTACTTTAACAAGTTCAATATCATTAAATATTAATTGATAAATAGTTACTATATACCTTACCCTTCTTAATGCTTGCAATAGTAACAATTTAGTTTTGATACTTCCGTTTATCAAATGTAACTTAATTTTTTTAAAGTTTAAAGATTTTGGAGGAGCAGACGACATATACGGCATAGGTTGCTTGATTACTTTCATCTCGGAATTACATTTCTCTAACATCGCTTCCGAAGGGCACTGTGCATGTAAAACGGATAATAATATAATTATGCACACATACATATATTAATAGAGTTGTTTGTTACAGTTCTACTTACATATGAATTGTCTCTTATATTTTGATTAAATAGATCTGGAAAAATTTTAATGCACGACTCTAACATAGCTTGGAAGTCGATAGTTTGGCCCTTCACCGAGTTTTCTAAAACGTTTGTTAAAACTCGGGCAATGCTCATTAATTTATGATAATCAGCATGCAGTTTATGAAATCGTTTCTTTAACTTCTCATAATTGGATTGAACGGTAGATAAGTGAGACGTTGTTACAGTTAATTCCTGAGCATACTGCATTAACTTTTTATTACTTCTTAAAAGCGACGAATGCAAGTCTTCGTCTGTAGAGTAAATGGTTGATATTGTCTGCACGCTTCTGCATCGAAATGGAATGTTATACAGAGTATTCAATTATTACGAAATTGTTATGAGAAACACAATCACTATGAAAAATAGTGTGCTATTGTTACTAACTTTGATTTTCGAGTATATTTTGTGTTATCAGATAAACAATACTGCTCATCGATTTCGTCGTCTTCTATAAATAGTGGAATGTTTCTATCATTTGGTATGATTGGTACATTTCTTTTTTCAAGTATTTTGTTGGCAGGAGAATCTTTGTTTTCCGAATTTATATCATTGTGTTTTAGATTGCTGAAATTCTTAAGGTTGAAGAATTAAGTATAATTCTCAGTATAAGTGATTTATTTTCTTTACTCACTTGTTGTTCACAGTCCTCAACAAATGAAATCAAATTTTCAGTTAACTCTCTGATCCAACTGTTTCCAAATACTTTAGACATGCTTAGTTCTGCAAGTGGGTCCTCGGTAAGAATTAATGCAATTAAGGATCTTAATTCTGTATCATCTTCCAGTTCTTTACCAGTTGTATTTAAAAATACCCGTAATAATTCCACACATTCATGCATATCCTTTTCTAATTCAGTCATAAAATTCTGTAAATTATCGATAATGAATCAATTATTATTAAACTTATAGTATTGTCCTGTAGTTTT